AAGCTGTGACCCAGGGGTCGGGTAGCTGCCCAGCCTCAGGCCACAGTTCCTTTGAAGGGAGGGCCCTGCAGGTCCACGAGGTCCACGGGACCCAGAGAGGAAGGCACATTCCTTGGCCACGTACAGGTGACTCTGGCCACAGGGCCACGTACAGGTGACTCTGGCCACAGGGCCACGTACAGGTGACTCTGGCCACAGGGCCACGTACAGGTGACTCTGGCCACAAGGCCACGTACAGGTGACTCTGAACACAGGGCCACGTACAGGAAACTCTGATCACAAGGCCACGTACAGTAACGGAAAACAAGTAAAAACATGTGCACGGGAAACATCCGCACGGCAAGAGGAAAGAGCACGGTCGGGGGGCAGGGGGTGCTGCGCAGGGGCCGGCGTGGACAGGAGCACGGGCAGGAGCACACGCCTGGCAGCTGGGGCCTCGGCCCGCGCTCACCCCACCCGGCGACCGCAGGCACGGAGCATGGCCGCCGCCTTTAACCGGGAGTGAATGAGAGCCTTCGCAGCCAGCCACACTTCCCCTGGCCACAAAGCATCCCCCGGGGCTGCCCGGGCCTCACTCTGCAATTTAAAACACGTCCTCCTGCCAATTAGAGAGCACACACGGGACAGAACAGAGCCCTCGCTGCCCGCCCCGTTCACTGGCTCGTCCTAGACCTGCCGCAGCCCGAAACCTTCGGCCACGGGCGGCAGAATGCTCTCAGGCTAACGGCAAGGAAACGGGCTCGGCCTTCGGGAGATGAGACCCGGGAACGTGCCCGGCGAGCTGGTGTGAAGGACTGCCGGCGACCTTTCTGAGAAGGCAGCGCTACAGATGGTGGCTAGAAACGGCAATTACGCCGTGGCCCGGTGTGCTCCGGGCTTAGGGCGTCGGCCCGTGCACCGAAGGGTCTCGGGTTCGATTCCTGGTCAAGGGCACGGACCTGGGCTGCTGCGGTTCACGCCCCAATCCTGGTTGGGCCCCATGCCCGAGGCAACCAGTTGATGTGTCTCTCTCACACAGACGTCTGTCTGTCTGTCTGTCTCTCTCTCCCCCCCTCCCTTCCACTATGAAAATGGAAATGGGGGGAAATATCCTCAGGTGAGGAGGAACAAAAATATACAAATAAAAACTTGCAACGACACTCCTGAGCACTGCCCGTGGGCTGTGTTAAGGACTGAGCATGCACCATCTCACAGAACCTGCACACCAGCTCCTCGGAACGAGCAGGACCGCGTGACCCTTCTCCGGACGGTCAGAGGCGCACACACTTGCCTGCAGTCAGTCACACAGCCTGGGGAGGGCGGGGAGGGGGCCCAGGCTGGCCCGGACTGTCTGACGCCCAAGCCCCATGCTCTTCACACCACAGCGCACACGTTCCACGTGGCCCAGAGTGCACGGGCCGCCAAGGGTTCTCGGCTCCGTGTCTCACAGCCCCTCCCAGCAGCCGGCGAGGAACAGCGGCAGCTGAGCAAACCGCCAGGGCCCACACCTGGCTGCTCCGCGCACGTCCGGACCCGGGCCCAGGGCCCAGGCTCTGCCGCGGGCAGCGGCCAGGTGAGCTGCGGGGCTGAGAGGGGCAGTCCGGTCTGCACCTCCCGCTTCCTCGTTCCATTTAAAAGCACTCCGCCCCCAAGAACAAGCGCCCGTGGTGGCGACGAGCGGCCTGGCCGGCCCTCGGCCTCTGCAGGACACTCGGGTGGGAAGGCCACCTTCACGCAAACACCGGGCACCGAACCCAGGAAACCCGAACCTGCCGGCGCCCGAGCCTTTCCCTTTAAACAGGGCCTCCCGTCCCCAGAGGAGGAAGCCAGGGAGCCCACAGCCCCGGGCGGCGGGTTCCGGCCGGCACCACCTTCCCGCCCTCAAAAGGCAGCTCATTCCCATGAACGCTCAGCAGATAGGATGACAGATACAGACACACACACACACACACACACACACACACCCCGTCCTCCCCCAACCAGGACAGTCACAGAGAGGGAAATAACGTGTGTTACACACACACACACACACACACACACACACACCATCCTCCCCGAACCAGGACGGTCACAGAGAGGGAAATAACGTGTGTTACACACACACACACACACACACACACACACACACACACCGTCCTCCCCAACCAGGACGGTCACAGAGAGGGAAATAACGTGTGTTACACACACACACACACACACACACACACACACCGTCCTCCCCAACCAGGACGGTCACAGAGAGGGAAATAACGTGTGTTACACACACACACACACACACACACACACACACCGTCCTCCCCGAACCAGGACGGTCACAGAGAGGGAAATAACGTGTGTTACACACACACACACACACACACACACACACACACACACACGCCTCTCGTTCGATTATCAAACTAAAAAGATGCCAGCTGGCCGCCAACGGAAGGTCTCCCGGCAACGGGAAGGCAGAGGCTGGCGGGGTCCCCCCCGCGGCCGGGGAAGATGGATTTGGTCGCGGATGATCCTCGGGAAGGGAGGGGGCCGCGGAGCCCGTGACCGGGGAAACTGCCCCGCGGAGCCCGTCACGTGTGCCAAGTGACAAGCCGTGAATACAAGGGGAGTATTAACGGAAAGACTGATACCGTCTTACTACACTGGCCCCTCTGTCACTCGGCACAATGATCCGTTGAGGGTTTTCCAGGGATTCTGAATGCGCAGCCTCCGGACAAGCCCCCCTTTCAGGGCTGGCCCGGGGCCGAGTCCCTCCTGGGAGCCCAGCCCCGGGCGGCCGGAGGGGCGGCCGGCTTCGCAGACAAAGGAGGGGGCGCGGGCCGGGGGCCGGGAGCGGGATGGCTGGGTCCGCCGCCCGGACAGGAGGAGGGGGCCGGAGAAGCGGGCGCGCCGCAAAGGCCCGCTGAGGCCAGTTCCCGAGAGCCAGCCGGCCGGAGGTCCGCAGAGGTGGCGACGCGGTCCGTCCCAACACCCTCCCCGTACCTTCCTCCCGCCAGCAGCGAGGGATCCGGGGGGGGGGGGGGGGGGGGGGGGCACTAGGGCAGGGCATCCCCTTCCTCCATGGGGGCAGCTCTTTCCGGGACAGGGGTCCTGCCCCCTCCCTTAGGCCCCCACCGGGCAAGCCCTCGGGATAACGGTCCTCATGCAGCCAGACCCCCCGTCTCAGAGCTCCGAGAGCCTACCCAGTCATCAACCCACCTCCGAGCTACCCCCAGGCCCCCACTACCCCCCAACTACCCCCCAAGTACCCCCAGACCCCAACTACCCCCAGGCCCCCACTACCCCCCAACTACCCCCCAAGTACCCCCCAAGTACCCCCAGACCCCAACTACCCCCAGACCCCCGACTACCCCCAGGCCCCCGACTACCCCCCAACTACCCCCAGACCCCCGACTACCCCCAGGCCCCCGACTACCCCCAGGCCCCCGACTACCCCCCAACTACCCCCAGACCCCCGACTACCCCCAGACCCCCGACTACCCCCAGGCCCCCGACTACCCCCAGGCCCCCGACTACCCCCAGGCCCCCGACTACCCCCAGGCCCCCAACTACCCCCACGCCCCCAACTACCCCCACGCCCCCAACTACCCCCAGGCCCCCAACTACCCCCAGGCCCCCAACTACCCCCAGGCCCCCACCTACCCCCAGGCCCCCACCTACCCCCAGGCCCCCACCTACCCCCAGGCCCCAACTACCCCCCAGGCCCCCAACTACCCCCCAGGCCCCCAACTACCCCCCAGGCCCCAACTACCCCCCAGACCCCCAATTACCCCCAGACCCCCAATTACCCCCAGACCCCCAACTACCTCCCAGACCCCCAACTACCCCCCAGGCCCCCAACTACCCCCCAGGCCCCAACTACCCCCCAGGCCCCCAACTACCCCCAGACCCCCAACTACCTCCCAGACCCCCAACTACCCCCCAGACCCCCAATTACCCCCCAGACCCCCAACTACCCCCCAGACCCCCAACTACCCCCAGACTCCCAACTACCTCCCAGACCACCAACTACCCCCCAGACCAGCTACACACACTCAGCCCCCTCAAACCCATCTTGGAGCCCCCAATTCTCTCGTAAAGCTCATATCCAGCCAGTCCACTCGGCTCCTCCAACCTATTCTCACACCCGATACCCGCCTCAGTCTCTGTCTCCCTCCACCTCCCCTTCACGCTCCTCAGCCTGTCACCCCGAATCCCCCACTCCAGTTCCCGCCCCCCACTCCCTCCGCCCGCCAGCCAGCCTCAGCCTCAGCCTCTGCGCCCCAGGCCTCCCCTGGCTCCTGCTCCCCTCCCGCCTGGCCCAGCCCCGCGCAGGACGGACGCTTTTCCCAGCCGGGCCGCACCCCGCACCCGATCCCCGGCCCCGCACCCGACCCCGGCCCCCGCACCCGACCCCGGCCCCGCACCCCGGCCCCCTCACCCCGGCCCCCTCACCCCGACCCCGGCCCCGCACCCCGACCCCGGCCCCCTCACTCCGGCCCCCGCACTCCGACCCCGGCCCCCTCACCCCGACCCCGGCCCCCTCACTCCGGCCCCCGCACCCCGACCCCGGCCCCCTCACCCGACCCCGGCCCCCGCACCCCGACCCCGGCCCCCGCACCCCGACCCCGGCCCCCTCACCCCGACCCCGGCCCCCGCACCCCGACCCCGGCCCCCTCACCCCGACCCCGGCCCCCTCACCCCGGCCCCCTCACCCCGACCCCGGCCCCCTCACCCGACCCCGGCCCCCGCACCCCGACCCCGGCCCCCTCACCCCGACCCCGGCCCCCTCACCCCGACCCCCTCACCCCGACCCCGGCCCCCTCACCCCGCACCCCGGCCCCCTCACCCCGACCCCGGCCCCCTCACCCCGCACCCCGGCCCCCTCACCCCGCACCCCGGCCCCCTCACCCCGCACCTCCGACCCCGGCCCCGGCCCCCTCACCCCGCACCCCGGCCCCCGCACCCCGCACCCCGGCCCCCGCACCCCGGCCCCGGCCCGGCCCCTCGCTCTGCCCCGCCCGCCCCGCCGCGGGCCCGCTCACCTCCTCCATCCGCTGCACCATGGCCGCCAGCTGCCCCTCGTCCTCCAGCAGCTCGTTGAGCTGCACCAGCGTCAGCCCCGCGAACCGCGCCTCGCCGCCCGCGCCCGCCATGCCCGCCGCCGCCGCCGCTCTGGCCGCCCGGCTCCGCCGACCGGAAGGGCCGCCCAGGCCCCGCCCCCGGCGGCGAGGGGCACGTGACGCCAGCGCCGGGGCGTGACGTCACCGGCGCGCGGGCGGCGGCGGCGGGCGTGGCGGGCAGCTCACCTGGCGGCGCGGGTGCGCGGTGTCCCTCGGAGGGCGGTTGGGGGTGCCAAGCGGAGGGAGAGGACCTTAGGGACGGGCTTGTGACGCAGCGAGCGGCGGTGATGATGTCACTGCGGCACAGGGGAGGGCGCTGTGATGTCATAAGAGCCTTTTCCTGGAGGAAAGGGAATTCCGAGATCCAAAGAGAGCGGGCAAAGGGCCATGGCTGGTGTGGCTCTCCCCTTCTCCCTTCCTCTCTGAAATCAATAAAAATATATTTTGAAAAAGAAAGAGAGAAAAGAAAGCTGGGCAGCGTGCAGGAAGTTCCTGCCGCCCAGGCCCGGCTGCAGAAGGGACTTGGGGGGAAGAGCCTTCCACCAGAGGTTTCTGGGGCCCGGGGGCTGCCAGGCCTCCACGTCACAGGCATGGCTGGAGGCCACACGTGTGCGAGGCCCTGGGGACACCGCTCCGCAGACAGAAAGGGCGCCGCCGTGTCAGCACACCAATACAACGGTGACAACTTGGGGGAGGTCACAGGAGGAAATGAGTGCTGAACCCCGAGGCTAAGGGGAAAGGCCTTCTTTAAGAGAGGAGTCCAAGGATGGGCCCCGAGAAGGGACACCTACCCAGAGCTGAAGGCCGAGAAGGGAGGCAGCCGCCGCCATGGCTGCAGGAGGCTGCAGGCAGCAAGACGGCGTGTGCAAAGGCCCTGAGGCAGCACCGCTGGTCCCTTTGAGGACCGGCCGAAGACCGGGAAGGTTGGACCCGAGCACATGGCACCTCTGCACCCGCTCAGAGGAAGGCACCTCCACCTCAGGGTGGGCCCACGGTGCCCTTCCAGAAATGGCACGGTGGAGGGTGTCATTGCTCAGTCTGCCCCGCCGCCTGGAAGTCTCTCGAGAGCCAGGAATCCGGGGACACATCCCGCTCTGGAGTCTGCCGCAGGCGACCTGCCCTAAGCCAGGCGACCTGCCCTAAGCCTGAGGGCACCCACAAGAGCCCCCTGATTGTGCACATAGAGAAACTGAGGCCCCAAGAAGAGGACGTTTTTGTCTTGTTTTTGTTCCCAAAATCAAGTATAGTTGGCAGGTCGCCTGGCTCCCGTCTGGCATCCGCCATGCTGGCATCGCGCACACGGAGCTGGTCGCATCCCTCGGCGCCCGCCGAGCACAGGCGAGGCATTCAGCAGGCGCCTGCCGGCTGACTGGCGGGCTTTGTGGGGGAAGACGCTGCTGCTGCTCCGCCATCTGTAGCCCATAAGGTCTGCGCGGTGCGGCCGTACGTCGCACTGGACTGCCCGGCCCCGTCCTCCCGCCCCTCGGGACCAAGGGCACACCTGTCAGAAAATGGGGAAAGTGAGAGGGAACATGTCACGTTGTCTGCAAGGAAAAATGTTCATTGAGTTCAACCGTTTCCTTCTTTGAATTTGTTATAGTTGGTTTTTTTTAAGAAATAAAATAAAAGGGGGGCTTTGCCCCGGCTGGTGTGGCTCCGTGGGCTGGGTGCTGTGCTGTGCACTGACAGGTTGCCAATTCGATTCCCAGTCAGGCACATGCCTGTGCTGCAGGCTGGGTCCGTGGTAGGGGGCGTGCAGGAAGCAGCCGAACAGGCAGCCAAAAAAAAAAAAAAAAAAAAATTAAGGCAGGGACATCTGTAATACTATCAACAGTAACAAATAGACATTTAATAATTTTAAAAAGAATCTTTTAAAAAAAAATAGCCATTAACCCTGGCCAGTAGCTCAGTAGTTAGCGCATTGGCCTGCACAGTGAAGGGCATGCGTTCAATTCCCTGGGCAAGGCATGTATCTGGGTTGTGGTTCACTCCCCACCCCTGGTCAGGGCGCAACCAATTGATGTCTCTCACCTCCCTCTCTCTCTCTCTCTCTCTCTCTCTCTCTCTCTCTCTCTCTGAAAAGCAATGGAAAAAATATCCCCGGGTGAGGATTAACAACAACAACAAAAAAAGGGAATAAAAAACAAATAAATTTCTAATTGAAAAATGTGGCTTTGAGAAAGAAAAACCACAAAAAAAAAAAAAAAAAAAAAAAAGAGGAAGGGGAAGTAGAAAATCAAATTTATGGTCAGGGAGGGATACCAGCTCAGTTATTTTCTTTCTTCTTTTCTTTCCAGGAGAAGAACAGACTTGCCAAAGTGAGACGAACAGTTGTGTTTTCCAGAAAGTTCTCACTCGGGAAGCTTGAGACGTGCCGACGGGGAGAGAAAGGCGCCAGAACGCCCCAGGACACACAGGGCGCCCCCCCCCCCCCCCCCGAGCACACGCGGGGTCTGCACGGCGGGCCCGGGTCCGGCTGCTCCGTGGCCATGGGTCCCTCCTCTGGGCCCTGCCGGTCCGTCCTCCCCCAAACCTGTGCTCTGCCCCCGGCCTCTCCTCGTCACACCCACTTCCTCTGTGAGGCAGGCAGACCGCAGGCCACGCCGTGTGTGCTGGGGCCCTAGGAGTGTGTCTTTGTCTCACAAGGGGTCCAAAATAGAAAAGGCACAGCCAGCCCTCGAATTGACGTCAAACCCGCCACCTGAAGGTGCGGGGGGGGGGGGGGGGGGGTCGGGGAGGGGGAATGGGACGTGAACACCCCCTTCCTCCCCCGGCTGGTGCTGGTGCTGCGCCTGCCGGCCTCGGCGCCCCTGGGCCCCGGCCACCTTTGCGGGTGAGCTGAGGTCTTGCGCTGGCACACCGAGGGCAGAATGAGCATGTGCCAGGGCTTCCGTCTCAATGCAGCCCTTGTTCCCCTAGCAGCGACTCTGGTTACACAACCCTGGGAGCCGTTTGGAAAGCACCCTTCCAGAAAAAAAAAAAAAAATGTCTGGTAGCTGCGCCTTAAAATCCTCTCGCCCTGAGATCAGGATTCTTTCTCTCCGAGGCAAGGGGGGAGGGTTGTTGTGAAGGTTTTGCAGCTGGAAGGGCCGGGAGGAAACGCAGGCTGACCTGGTGACCAGGTGTCCATAGCAGAGGCGGGCGGGACGGGGTGTGCAGGTGGGGCACCTGGTCACTGGCATCTGCGAAGGTCTAAATGCCCAGCATGGCCCGAGCACCAGTCATCAGGAAGGAGAAGGAAGTCATTCCAGGCTCAGTCCCTGCTTTTGAGGAGGGAGAGGAGAGAGAAAGATATAGGGCCGCCCAGCCAGAGCGGCTCGGTGGGTTGAGCCTCGTCCTGTGTGTGTGTGTGTGTGTGTGTCAAAAGCCGGTTCGATTCCCAGTCAGGGTACATTCCTGAGTTCCGGGTTCATATCTCTCTCTCTCTCTCTCTCTCTCTCTCTCTCTCTCTCTCTCTCTTTTCAGGTGAGGATTTTAAAAAATCAAAATATAGCCGAAACCGGTTTGGCTCAGTGGATAGAGCATCGGCCTGCGGACTGAAGGGTCCCGGGTTCGATTCCAGTCAAGGGCATGCACCTTGGTTGCGGGTACATCCCCAGTAGGGGGTGTGCAAGAGGTAGCTGATCGATGATTCTCTCTCATGGATGTTTCTAACTCTCTATCCCTCTCTCTTCCTCTCTGTAAAAAAAAAAATCAATAAAATATATTTAAAATAAAAATATAAAGCAGTGTTTTAAAAAGTGCAGTTAAGGTGGATATCATTTTGTTGTGTTGTAAAGGTGGGAATCAAGCAGGAAGCTTGATTGTTGTTGTTTTTTAAATATATTTTATTGATTTTACAAAGCGAGGAAGGGAGAGGGATAGAGAGTTAGAAACATCAATGAGAGAAACATCGATCAGCTGCCTTCTGCACACCTCCCTCTTGGGGATGTGCCTGCAACCAAGGTGCATGCCCTTGACTGGAATCTAACCTGGGACCCTTCAGTCCGCAGGCCGATGCTCTATCCACTGAGCCAAACCGGTTTAGGCAAAGCTTGATTGTTTTGGTTTCCGGATTTTTTAAAACATTTTGCTCCCCGGGGAGGGGTTAGTGAGCAGTCTCAGGCGCACAGGAAAAGAGGCAGAAGGTGACAAGCACTCACGTGAAGGACCACCAGGCCAAGGAGCGCACGTCACAGACACCACAGGAAACGCCTCGGGGCCTGTCTCCTCCACCCGTGTCTCCAGCCCCTGTCCTAGTGACTCTTTCCCACAGATATCCACACACGCAGCAAGAACAATACAGACGGATACCTTTCTGCGGCTGGCTTTTTTGTTCCCACGCTGCCTCTCTGAAATGTATCCTTGCTGATTCCTTTGGTTGGAAACATTTTATTTTTTTGCCCCCCATAACTGTAAAGCCTTCTGTTTTAGGATCTTTTTTTTTTTTTTAAATCCTTCCGTCGGTGGAAGTCAGGGAGGATACACTTCCACTTGACTAGATGTCGCGCTCCAAAGCAGTGCCTTGGTCGTTTTGTTTTTGTTTTGTTGTGAGAAAATACAATGCCACATGTACCTTGTAAACAGCGTCTGAGGGCACGGCGGCGGCGGGGGGGGGGCAGGAAGCACATGCAGGCGTGGGGCAGCCGTCTCAGCCGTCGGATTCCAGAACTGGACCTCTGCGTCCCCCCCGCCCTCCCCGCTGGTGACCGCTGTCCTACTTTCTGTCTCTGTGACTCTGACTCCCCTGGGGACCTCACCTGCTGGGATCGTCCAGGATGGGTCCCTCTGTGACGGCTGATTTCCCGTCCCTGTCTGTCCTTAAGGTCCATCCATAGGGGAGCCTGTGTCCTTCGAGGCAGGGGTGGGGAGCGTCCGGCCCGGGGGGCGTCTGAGGCCCGAGAGATTGTGTGGTCCAGCCTCAGGGGTGAGTTACTGAATGTCGGACCACCCGTAGCAGGCTGAGTTTTTTATTTAATTGATTTTTTATTGATTTTTCACAGAGAGGAAGGGAGAGGGATAGAGAGCCAGACACAACGATGAGAGAGAAACAT